GGGGCAGTTTTTGTTGCTGCTGTCTGAGGTGCCTGATCAGGTTCCAAGTTAAAATCTAAACTCCAGTAAAGTCAACTGGGGCTTTGCCATAGGGTTCCTTGGGAGAAAGATTTTATTTGGGAGTTCACACCTCCACTTCTCAAGCTGCATTTTGTTCAGTTAGCAAACTTGCCTCTGCTGTGTCAGTTGCTCATTACTGTTTCTATCAGCTCCTACCTCCCATGCTTCAATGTTTCCACTTCTGTTGCTGCATTTATTTAGGTAAAGCAGTCTGATTTGTTTTCCAAATTGAATATTCTGTGTTAAATTCACCCATCATTGGAATAGTCACATATTGTGAATTCTTAAATAATGTGAAAATATGTTTTATTAAGATATTTATATTAAACAGTTGAAATTTGCACAGTAAGATTTTTTTAAAGATATTTACTCTTGTATTGAATTTCACAGTCCTTGGTTAGGACAATGTATACCTGCAAACAAAGAAACCATATAAAGAAATAAATTATTGCAGGATTTTGCTATCTTACATTCATGAGTGATGGGGAAAGAAGCTATAATAAGATGCACAGGCATAAATTAAAGAGTATCTTCCTTCAGCACTTCATTTCAGCATGTACTTACATCGAATGCATATTCTAGTGCAATCCTGAATAGGGATCTACATAAGCTGTAGATCTACATAAGCTGTAGGTGTTCAGGTGCTTCCCTGAATCAGACCATAGAGCTGAGGAGCTGTGAACCTTCTGCATGTTGCAGTGGTCTTGCTGGGAGGACCTCTTAGTATGCAGACTTGAATGCTATAATCCTGATGGCCAAGCAGCTAGAGTTCATGTGGAAATGAATACAAGTTTGGGACACAGGGCATGATGCGGGACTATGCTTGCAGTAAGGAAGGAAAGCAAAGCTGCATTGTGCCTACTATGATTGAGAAAAGCCAAGCCAAGAATTAGTCCTGCACATTTAGAGCCTGACCTTGCTAACAGTGTAGTGCAGATTAATTTTGCTTCTGTGATTAATTGCATTGGAATATAGGACTGGTCTTGGGAACACTTAACTACTTGCAGATCACAAATAGAGCACAGTTCCTCCTTCACAGGCAAGTCTAACAGTAGCAATACAGACTTTCAAACCTGCAAACTATGACCTGTAAAGTGACTGCCAAAAATACTAGCTACTCCTTTTCATAATCAGTGGCAGAAGGTGTTTGCTGTCACTTGGAACTTCTCAACAGAGGAAGGATGAGTATTTTAGATCAAATGAATCCAATTCACATGACTTTTCTCTACTACTTTCTGGGACCATTACTCATAACTCTTAAAGTTAACATGAGGTTCCATATCATTCCGAAGCTCTTATGTAAATAAGCGCACAGTCTGCCTCTTGTGATTTACTTGCCCATGCATTTTTTCGTGCCCTGGTATTTCCCTAGCCTTCTTTGGGGCTTATGACTCACTGGTGCTTAGTGCTGTCTTCCACAGTGCTTAATTTTTCTCCTTATTTTCTACCATTCTTCTTTCCAGTACTGCAAAGGAAGAAACCAGCTTGGCTTTCTTCCTGTTCATGACCACTTGAAAAGCTTGGCATTAAATAAGCCCTGACTAGGCACAAGTTTCTTTTCTTACCATTAAAGTAATGCTTCTGTGAAGCAATGAGCAATGAAGCAATATTTAATGGGACTTTAACACACCATATAATTCAATGCAAGAAATGGTCTCTAAGCTATACATATCTAATCCTAAATGCAAATAATTCCCTGTGGTAATTCTAAATCCAAGTCCATCTGGGAAAATCAGAATATTTGCTATGACCTTGGATGGTATACATCGTTATTGGATGTATACCTTGGATGGCATACATACTGTCTTACCAGATAACTTCTATTTACATCTATTTTTAACCTAGGACATTTACATGTATTTGAAGCCTAACCTTCAAAGTGCTGCCCTTTTAGGTAGTGGTGAATGCCAAGGATGCACATAACTAATGCTTACATTCCAGGGATGCCCCTCAGGATCCATTGTGTGTGTATCACTGTGGTAGGTACTTTGCATATCAGACAAAGAGAGATGGTCCCTTTTTCCTAGTTTAAGGATCAGACTGTAGTTCAGCCTTTCTACCCATGCAGGAGTATAACATTTTGTGTGTTAAACCTCTAAGCCCTAGAACCATGTACCTGTTCCTCCCTCCTCCACTCCCTCACCTTCATTCCACCCCTCACAGTGCTCCAATGCACACAGCTCCTGAGTACCAGGGTTATCTGCAAGTGCAGATTAACATTCCTTGATATCATTCCCATAGTGTTTGGTATAAGGACCTACAGTTAAGTCATTAGTGGTGTCTAGTCTCAGAAGTAAGAGCAAAATAACATGGAGATGAGATCATCGCATATATCTGAATAGGTTAGTTTAAATTCATGATTGACCGACTGTCTATGTATGCTTGATCTAATCACATTCCATAATAATAATGATTTATATTTTTGTAGTTGTCTTCCCAAAATATCCCTAGGTGTTTTAGAAACTAAAGGTCTCAACATAAAAGAAAATGACTTCCAGCCCAGCAGCCTGTAAAATGACATCAGAAAAAAATAATAACGCCCAAGGCCTGTTTCTCCTACTGCAAGATCCAATAACTTGAGTTGCATGGGAATTGGGTTACCTCTTGTACCTCCTGCTCTCTCCAAGTCTTTTCCCTCTCAGGCCACTAACTGGGTAGCCACAATCTTTCTCAGAGTGGAATCATACAATTCACTCTCCACTCTTAGAGTAGGCTGGTAGTTCTCAACCAGTTTAGAGTTGAGGCAGCCTTTAGAAAATACCACCAGATTTCACTTTTTTTTTTTTTACTCTAGAAAAATAATAGGGCAATGCAAAGAACTCAGAAAAACCATAACAGGTGTGAATGTTTTTGACACTGGAATCTTATTTGAAATCTCTGGGTTATTTTGTGAGTCCTGTAATGCTTGTACACCTAGCAGTGCAAATATTGCAGGGTACCCCATGACACTGTTAAAAGGATCTTGAGGTACCCTGGTTAAGAATCACTAGATTAGGCCTTAAGCTCCAACTCTTTGATGATAACAATCATGAGCTCAGCTGGATAAACTGTTATGTTCAGCATCTGCAGTTTTCTTCTTTCTGGAGTCAATGATAGTAATTATGTGCTTGTATGTGTGTGTGGATAGTGTGTATATATGTATATATATGTAGTGTGTGTGTGTATATATATATATATGTAGTAAAATGATAACTATATATATATGTATAATAGTAATGAGTGCATGTGTGTGTGTGTGTGTGTGTGTGTGTGTGTCTATACACACACACACACACACACACATTACTATCACTGACCATGGATCCAATATATTGATGATCTATCTATCTATGATTGGTATAGATAATCTATAAGGTGCAAATCTACCCTGCATTCACCTAGTAACTAACCATCCTTCTTAAAGAAATTATTATTTATTTAAAACCAAACTATATAAAAGAAAACCAGTTGTCATAAACCTGCCTTTCCCTATGGGTTACCATCTCCTCAGTTTGACAGGAGGCCCAGCTTTCTTAGACTCCCTCCACTGGCTCTCTCACTCTCTAGACAAACCCTAACAACTGAACTGACCTCACCCTTATCCTCCTCTCCTCCTAGGGGTTGTTGTGGGTTTTTGTAATCAGTTTTGGGTCCCTTTGATCCATAGACTTCTGGCATTTGCAAATAAGGCTTGCCTCTTAGAGAAAGGATGACAGAGCCTCGTAACTAATAATTTTCCCCATTGTCTTCAGGTCTGTACCAAAGTGCTCTTACCTGAGGAGCCTATTGCCTTGCCTTCCTCTGCTTGTTATTCCAACAGCCTCCACTAAATTAATGCAATGTAGGTCCCCATGTTAGTCTGAAGTCAGGTGGAAGCCAGGAGACTAACTGGTGCAAAGAAGTGTAAGTTTTAATAGGCAACAGCCTACTTCATCATAGCACTCTCCTCAGCATCTGATGAAGTAGGCTGTCACCTATGAAAGCTTATGCGTCTCTGAATGAGTTTGTCTCCAAGGTGCCACCCTGTCCTGCCTTCTGCCTGAATTAAAGAAGTATAGAAATATAAAACCACTTTTGGTGCTTTATTCAATTCATATTCAACAAATGAATTAAATCTGTATTCACAGCTATCTGTAACAATTTCCTAATATCCTTTTGAACATATCACTCTATTTTAGGCACCTGGAATTGAAACTATGTCTTTATTTATTGCTTTATGGTGGCAGAAGTGTTAGGATGGAGAAGTCGGTTATGCATGCAAACAAAAACTGCTTCAAAAAGAGAGTTCAAGGTTTATTACCAAATAACCAACAGCTTGGTTAAAGCACTCAGTTGGGATATGAGACTCTTAGGGCACAAACAGAAGTTACATTTGTCACACAATCAGCCCCTTCAAAGCACTCTACAGCCATGCCCTTACAGAAGGGCATGGCTGCAGAGCACTTTAAAAGGTCTTGATCGCTCGACAATCTGAACCTTTGTTATATGAGGGTTCAGGAGCATGACTGGGCTGATACAGTCCTACCGCCCCCCCCC